CAGCAAGTTGAGAGTGGTGGACATCTAGGGCGTATAGATCAAGCCACTATCTAACTCTTTTGATAAAGTGTCAATCCAATTTAATGTGCTTGGTCATATCATGAAGTTTGGCGATGGAGAGGTTAACAGAGAAGAGGGGGAGACTAGCAGTGCTCAGGAAGAGGAAGGGTTGGGCAAGGAGACTGTGGTAGAAGCTGAAGTCATTTTGACTGGGATGACGCGAACAAGAAGGATGAAGGGGGTTCCATTAGCCACTAATGGTTGTCCTGTTAGAATGTGAAGTGGCTGTAGAAACGGCTAGGTGGGATGAAAGGACAACAGAGCTGGGGGAGGTAATGGTGGAGGAAGAGGTGGGGTAGAAAATCAGGGACTTGATTGAAGAAAAAAACTCTAGATGGGTACTCCAAAATATCCAGCTGAATAGTAGCATGCTCAAGGTCACTTACGACGGTTTAGAGGAGCAGGCTATGACACTTTTTAAAAAGATAGAGAAAAAAAAGAAAGAGAAGGTGAGAGGGGAGAAGTTAAAATCTAAAGTTAAAAACAGATTGGCATTGAAGGCTATAGGGAGTTGAGAAGGTTGCAATCAAGTATCAACCATGGCAATTCGTGAAATGGGGAAAAGAAGGGAAAAAGGGTGTGTGGGGATGCTTAATACATGTTTGGTCGCATAATCTCTTAGAATGTTAGGGGCATAAATGATCATAAAAAGAAACAGGTAATTAGAATTTATATGAATAGATGGAAACCTAATATAATTTACCTTCAAGAATCTAAAATGGAATTCATCTCAAACAGGATACTCGAAGCCTTTGGAAGACTAAGGAGATCAGCTGGCAAGACCTACCAGCTAGGAGGTTATCTCGAGGGATTCTGGTTCTATGGAATAATGTGGTTCTTAAATGTGAGAAAGTATTGTTGGAGGGATACTCTATTTCGTGCCTGTTTGATAATCGTATAAATGGGTGAAGGTGGGTGTTTACTAGTGGATAAAACAGAGATGAAGGAAGAGACAGGAGTTGGTTGTTGAAGGATTTAGATGTATGTACACAAAAATGGGACCTCTCATGGATTGTGGAGAGGGATTTCAATATCGTTTGAGTAGATAAGAAAGATCCGAACAACATTTCTCGAGGTATTGTGCTAAAGAGCTTAAGAAGACCATTGACAGGCTTGAACGACTAAATTTACCTCTAGTGGGAGGTAAATGGACTTGATCCAATCAGAGACCCAACCCAGTTTGTTCAAGAATTGATAAGTTTTGGTGTTGATTTCCTGCCAATTACAAATAACTTGTTTGTGCTAAAAACTCATGTAACGAACCATCTCTAGTCACTTCCTCAATTGCTTAGTCTCCCATGGGATTAATTGGAATCCTTATCCCTTCAGGTTCGAGGGTAAATAGTTAAAAGTTAATGGTTTCTATGACAAGATCAACAAAAGTTGGAGAGAGGTAATGATGGATGGTAAGACTAGCTTTAGAGAAGTTCAAAATATGAAGGGTATAGAAGGCCAAATTAAGAAGTAGCGCAAAGAGGGGATGGATGAAGGTAGAATCAATGAATTTCTACTATAGACTATTGAGGCTCCTGCGTATACCTCACAAAAATAGTTCCCTTAGTTCTCCCCAGGATTTGTGTTTTATTTTTATGTGCATTTTTCTTTACAATGTTTCACTTGTGTATACCTCACTTTTATGTTTATTTCGCTTTTTTTTGGTGTTCTACCTGCAAATTCCCTGTACAACAATTACATACCCGCTTCATCACCCTTTGTTTAATTTTTTTTTTTTTTTTGTAGCTTATCAACAAATATTTGGCAAATGCATACCATGTCTCCAGTTATGGACACAACCGTGATACAGATTAGATGACTTACTTCCTGATATTTGAAAAAAAAAAAAACAAAGCATCAACATAAACAAGGATAACATTTAAACCTGATGCATTTTGTCTCAAGGATGTATGCAGAAATAGATGGTGGCACTGACAAGTACGAAGCTTCGTAACTAACGCTTCTTCAGTAAGACCATCCTCTAAAGAATATGTCTTCATAGTCTCAAATACTGAAGTCAGAGAATACCCACTTGCTGACCGAGATATTCCTAGAAATTCAAGAGACATTTAACAGAAGTTAAAACTTATCAGTATCACTAAAATTAGCTCAGTACATGAAGTTGAAGTTAGTAGTATATGCCAACAAAGTATATAATCCAAATGGAATGATGTACAGATATTATACGGTGTTGTTTATGAGTAAATTATCTAAGTCAAGTAGCAAATGAAACAAAGGTTGTCTTGCACAGGGATTGAGTCGCTATTTGGTCTTAGTACTACTCCATTGTTTCTTTTTCATTACCTGTTTTTACAGGAGGATACCTTATTCTCTCCATCTTATTGCAACAACTTTCTGCTTTCTAATAATACCTTCCCCATCACCTAATCCTCCATATTTGTATCTTCTATTTTCCAATGTTTCTTCTTTTTTCTATAAAAAAAAATAGTATCTTCTCTTTTATGCGAAAAAAATCATAACATCAAGCACAAGATGATGCTGTATTCTACCAAAATTCATGAATAAGCAACCAATAAAAGCAAACTATTGATATAACCAGTAGTTAGAGGAAAGGAAGACAACATTATTCCATAGGAAAAGGAAGGTAGATAACAAGAACTTATATCCAGTAAATCAATAACTCCAATTATCCTATACAAAGTCAAAGCTTATTAACTTTTTTAATCCAAAAAAAAAGAGCTTAATGTACAATTAACATATTGAAAAGCAGCTGTAAATCACTTTTTCTTGTAAATGGAAGTCCATACATATGCATTCTTCACAACAGTACCAATTCTGCACAAGGATTTCCAGTTGTTAAACGCTTCCCATGATTTTCAGAAAGTAGCAAGTCATTTTGAAAAGAATTAATTAGAGAGAATACCACTCGTAACACAGGAGTTTCTCTTAAATATGATTCCAAAAAATACAATTCCATGCATATAAAGATAGATAGATACAAAGACACACAAAGAGAAAGAAGAAAAAAAAAAAGCCTTTGCACTCAATTACACCTTTTTGCCGAGGAAAAAGAGGAGAGAAGACAACTGATGCATGGGAAGTTCACTGGTAAGCTATCAGATAGAACTAGTGTTATACATGAAATATTCCTTTATGTTAACCAATCACATCCAAAATCAGTTCCCAGATCTTATTAGTTTAATGTGTAGAAGGCAATCGTCATACTTTGCACATTTGATGCATGATTAAATAAACTTCACTTTTACCTTCAATTCCACAACCCTGAATTTTTTTATTCCTATCTTCAATTCAAATTTCTATCACATTTGTATTGTATTCTCATTCTAATTCCATGAAATTAGAATTTGGACCAAACTCAATCTTATGTTATTTTTTCAAAATATGAATCATATGCCCATTTGATGTAATTAGATTTCCAGTTGGTTGATGTGCAATATATATTAGCAACTAAAATATGTACTCTTCAATTTGGTAAGCTCA